GGAAGGGAAGGGAAGGGAAGGGAAGGGAAGGGAAGGGAAGGGAAGGGAAGGGAAGGGAAGGGAAGGGAAGGGAAGGGAAGGGAAGGGAAGGGAAGGGAAGGGAAGGGAAGGGAAGGGAAGGGAAGGGAAGGGAAGGGAAGAAACCCCACACGTTTCGTTCCCAGTAACGCCAAATTTCTCCACGTCAGCTCTGCAGGAGCACCAAACCAGGGCCATGGGGGGAGGAGGGGGGTCCGCTCACGTCACACCAATGTCACACCTCGCACTGATGAGCCACCATTAATCCATTAATTCCATCTCCTCATTAAGGCAGCCTGAGAGCCGTGAAGGTGAACTCTGAGAGAGGGGAGAAACGCCGCCGGTCTGGGCTGGAAGCGAGGAGAATCGTTTGGTTTTCCTGTTAAAATTAGAATTTTGGGGGCTGGAAGGAGGCGATGATCTCCCAGGTCCCTCCCACCCGACCATTGTAGGATCCCGTGATTCTATGATCTTTAGGGTTCCTCCAACCCAACTGCTGTAGGATCCCAAGGTTCTATGATATCTGGGGCTTCTTCCAACCCAACCATTGTAGGATCCCAAGGTTCAGCCATCTTTGGGGCTTCTTCCAACCCAACCTTTCGAAAATTCCATGATCTTATGACCTTTATGGCCCATCCCAACCCAAACATTGTGGGATTTCATGGTTTTAGGGTCTCAAAGGCCTCTTCCAGCCCAACTGTTGGTTCTGTGATCTTTAGGGTTCCTCCAACCCAACTGCTGTAGGATCCCATGGTTCTATAATCATTACAGACTCTCCCAACCCAACCACTGTAAGATCCCATGGATCTTTAGGGTTCCGCCAACCCAACCATTGTAGGATCTCATAGTTAATTGCTCATTAGGGACTCTCCCAACCCAACCACTGTAGGGTCCCATGGTTCTATCAACTTTATGGCTTCTTCCAACCCAACCTTTGGAGGATCTCATGATCTGAGGATCTCAAAGGCCCACCCCAACCCAACAATCGTAGGATCCCATGGGATCTACGACCTTTAGGGTTCCTCCAACCCAACCATTGTAGGATCTCATGGTTCTATGATCATTAGGGCCTCTCCCAACCCAACCACTCTAGGGTCCCGTGATCCTATGATCTTTAGGGCCTCTTCCAACCCAACCATCCCACAACTTTTGTGCCACCAAGGGGATGCAGAAGGGCCTCAACTCATCCCTCCTTTCTCCTCCTATTTCTTTCCCTGCTTTTCACCCCTCCTCCTCAGAAATGAGGACCGGACCTACAAACAAAAACATCTGACGGCACTTCCTGCCCTAAAAACGATGGAAACACCCAAATGTTTCCCCCAGGAGGTTCGTCGTCCCTCCACTTTCAAACCGACTTAATTAAGGAGACGATGATTTAACTGAGAGAGAGACAGACGACCATTTCCCCCTTTTGGCTTAATTACGAGCATGAGTTGGAAGAGAGGCGGAAAATAGAGTGGCAAAGATTCCCTTTCACACAATGGATGCCCCGGAGATATTTCCTTTGCTCTTTTATCATCAGAGCTGGGATCATCTCGTATTTTTAGCCTAATTGCTGCAGCTTAATTTGGATAATAGTTGATAATAGCGGCTTATGCAAAGCGGCGAGTGTAGAAATGATGGCGAGAGGGAAAACCAGGAAGAAAAATCGGTGGAATAAGGTGAAATTAAGCAGAAAACTCCTAAATAATAAAGAGAAGGGATGCAGGGAGCTTTGGGAACGTGTGATGGTCCCATAGGGGTGGGAATTCCTCAAAGAAAGGAATTGATTTCGCCTTCAGGAAATGCAAATCATTCCCCTTATCTGGGATGATGGGAAACTCTTTTTCTAGAGAGGGCCTTTGTGCCATGAGTGGGAAAATGACCCAAAGCTGTCGGAAATGAGCAAAGGAAAATGAAGTTTGGTGCCAGAAATGGGAGAAAGTCCCAGATTTGTTGGAAATGTGGAAGGGGGATCGACTGGGGAATGAAGTTGGGTTTTGGGGAACGACCTTTCGGGTTTTTGGGAAGCAAAGCGTTGGATGTAGGGAAACATTGGGTTCAAAAGGATGAACCGTTGTTTATTTGGGGGGAAGGATTCATTGGGTTTGGGGGGAATGAAGAGTTTTTGGGGAACCATCCATGGAGTTTAGAATTATCCACAGTTTTGGGGGAACAAAGCGTTGAGTTTTGGGGAACTAAGCATTGGGATTTGGGGAATTGATCCATTGGGTTCAGAGTTATCCATTGTTTCTTTTTGGGTGCAATCCATTGGGTTTTCAGTTCGGGGGAACGACCCATTGGGTTCAAAATCATCTGTTTTTTAGGGGAGAACCAACCCATTTTGGGGGAACGAAACACTGGGGTTTGGGGTACAAACCCATTGGATTTAGAGGCATTTATTGGTTTTTGGGTACAATCCGTAGGGTTTTGGGGATTTAAAAGTTTTGGGGGACGATCCATTGGGTTTTCGGGGAATGAAGCGTTGGGTTTTCAGGGGTGGACACCATTTTTGGCTTTTTTTTTCCCCCCCCAAAACTCCCATGGAAATTTCCATGGGGCTGTGAGGACGAGGAGACATCGCTCCACTCGTCCCCCTTTTGCAGCACTGGTTTTTTTGTCTGAACAATTCCTTCTTTTTGCCTTAAAACGAGAAGAAAACCCTCAAGCCCTCCCCGCCCTCAATCCCAATTAACAGCAGGCGCTGACGAGCCCTCGAGCGCCGCATCCCCTCCCCCAATTAGTGGGGCCGTGCTAACGAAGTCGGACAGCAGCGTTTCTCACATTCCCTCGTCAAATTAATGACAAACCCCATTCCTGATGACCGGATGTGCTGCATCCCCATGGGAGAGAACAGATTAGGCAGAGGTGGGCAGAGCTGCTCGTTTTCACACCCGGGTTAACGAAGCTCCACTGCCACCGGGGACACACACACACACACACACACAAATTCGTGGTGGGGGCGGGGCGGGGTGGGGGGGGGGGGCGGGCGAGGAAGGACCAAAACGGGTTGGTTTGGCTTATTTTTGGCTTATTTGCCATTTATCTTTATGTTGGTACTTTGTATTTTTAGGGCTATTTTACGAATTCCATGAATTATGATCAAAATGTTTTGGGTGGCTGTACGGGGCCCTTGGCTGCTCTATAGGATCCCTGAATGCCCTATAGAGCCTTTAGGAGCTCTGTTGGTCCTCTGCATGGCCTATAGGGTCCCTGGGTGCTCTACAGGACTCTATAAGGACCTTGGGTCCTCTATAGGATCCTTGAGTGCTCCATGGGCCCCCTGGAAGCTCTATAGGGCCCTTGGGTGACCTATGGGGCCTTACAGTGCTCTGTGGGGCCCCCAGAGGCTCTATAGGGCCCCCAGAGGCTCTATAGGGCCCTTGGGTGTTTTTAGGGCCCTTGGAGGCTCTATAGGGTCCTTGAGTGCCCTCTGAGACCTTTAAGTTCTCTGTGGGGACCCTGCGTGTTCTATATGGCCTTTGGGCACCATATAGGGCCCGTGGGCGCTCTATGGGTCCCCTGGGAGGTCCATAAAGATCTTGGGTGACCCATAGTGCCCTCGAGTGCTCTATAGGGCCTCAGAGGGTTCTGTAAGGCCCTCGAGTGCCCTATAGGCCTCTGAAAGCTGCATGGGGCCCATGGCTGCTCTGTAGGGCCTTTGAGTGTCCTGTAGGACCCTCGGTTGCTCTGCGGGCCCTCAGCTGCTCTATAGGGCCTTCGGAAGATCTATGGGGTCACTGGTTGCCCTATGGGGCTACCGTTCATCCTATGGGGCTGCTGAGTTGTCTATAGAGCCCTTGGAGGTTCTACGGTGCCTCTGGGTGTCCAAATTTGGGCAATTTCGGGGACCACTTGGAGCTCTTCTACTTGGGTCTGACCCAAGACCTCAAAACTCACTTTCTAACACCAAACCGCTGCTTTCTGACCCCAAAATGATGGATGCTCTTGGGTGCCGAATCCCACACGGTGAATGGAGATTTTTGAGGTTGTGAGGTTAAAAAAAAAAATGAGTATTTTTCCCCCCCCAAAAGGGAAAACTCCTTCGATGCTTGTTGCCATGGCAACAGCATCTCCCATCCCACCCTGTTGTCACGGCAACGGGGAACCCAACCCCCCCCCCCCCCCTCATCCTCTGGAAAAAATGAGGACAAATCAAAGGAATCCAGCAAAGTTTGGGTTGGCGACGTCAAAAAAACCCACAAATGGTGGTGGAAAGGGAGAAGTGATGGAGGAGGAGCCAAAAATTTGCATTCCCCTCCCTAAAAATTAACTATTAAGCAGCTTAAAACCTCCTGCTTCATTAATTCCTGAGGGCCGGGTGGCAACGTCCCACCTCTGCTAATTTACCTGCTAATTAATCGCAGATATATTAGTCCCGACCAGGGGAACAGAAGAGAAGCCAAAAAGGGGGAAAAAAATAAATAAATCTATTTTTAAAGGAAAAAAACCCAAATTTCCCCGTTTTTCCCCCATTCTGCAGCCAGCGAAGCTTAATTTTGCATAATTAAGCCAAAACGATACTAATTAAAACCCCAATGCGTTCTGTTCTCGCAGCGGATCGTTACCCAAAATCGTCACGACGTCGTTCAGTGATGAGGATTCTTCTGGCTGCAGAGCTACAAATTAGCAGCAAATGAGTTTAATTAGCAGCGCAGCCCCCCCATGCCACGCTAACGACCCGTGGCGTGGGCTGATAACGAGCACGGCGATAACGAACGTGATCCAGTCTTCATCTACCAGAGCTGTGAGGGTAAAACGATGAAGATTTGGGGTTTCTCAGCAATATTGTATGGCATTTAGGGGGTTTGAGGTCAACTGTGGGTGACTTGGGGTTTTTTGGGGGGGTCACTTGATGGCAATATTGGGTTTTTTTGGGGTCATCCGTTGGCGACGTTGGGGTTTTTGGGGTCGCAAGTGGTGGATTTGGTGTTTGTTTGGATCATCCGTTGGCGATACTGGAGTTTCGTTGGGTCATCCGATGGCAATAATGGGTTTTTGGGGGGGATCATGGTGATTTTGGTGTTCTTTTGGGGTCATCCAATGGCAACATTGGGTTTTTTGGGGGGTCATCCGTTCCTAATTTGGGAGATTCGGGCTCACCAGTGGACAATGTTGGAGTTTTGGGGTCATCCAACAACAATATCGGGGTTTCTGGGTCACCTGTTGGTGATTTGGGGCTTTTTTGGGGGTTATTGACGGCAAGATTGGGTCACAGTCAGCGATATCAGGGGTCAACCATTGCCAACACCGCATATTTCAAGTCACCTTCCAACAATTTGGGGTTTTTCAGGGTCCCTCCTTGGCCTGTATCGTATTTTTGGGGATATTCTTGGTGATATCGTGGTCTGGGGTGTCAATCTGGGGGTCTTTTGGGGTTTTTATGTCAATTCTATGTCTCCCTCACCGACGGCACAGCAGCGCTCTGACGCTCCTCCAAAAACCCATTTATTTCCACCTTTTCCCTCCCAACCCCCCCCCCAAAAAAAACCCCTGGACCCCCCCCCTTATTTGACTTACAGGATGTCCCAAATCCTTTTTAGGGTTTCTCCCATCAGCGGTGCTGCCGCCGGTGCCGGAGGATCTCAGTGGGGGTGAAGGTGAAATCCTGCTGGCACACATCGCAGCGGTACGGCCGCTGTAGGGCTGAGGTCTGGGGGCAGCTCTGGGCTTCCTCTTCTGGGGGGGCTGCAATTAAGGTTAAGGGTAGAGAGGGATCCCACCCTCCTGCTTCCACCCCACGCCTCGTTCTTCCATCATCAAGCCCAAAACCACGCTCCTCCCAAACGCATTTCTTTTATCATC